TGGCTTTGGAGGCTGTCCTGGACCTAGCTCTTGTAGACCAGGCTAGTCTAGAACTCACAGAGATCCACCTGCCAATGCCTCCCCAGTGCTGGGATTAAAGCTGTGCGCCACCACCTGCCCGGCGTGAGATCTTATTGTACAAACAAAATAAAACAAAAAACCAAAGTATTCCAGAAGTCTAGGCTTCAGGTATGAGTGTCTCTTACATGGCTGCATGTGTGGCCCCTGAGCATGGGACCCTGAGTCCTGTGGATGTAGGAAGTCAATACAAGAGGACCCCAGAACAAATCACAGAAGAAAGATTATAGTTAGGGGAGGGAGGGACTGTGAAGATAGAAGATGACCTGCCAGGAGTGGACTGCGGATGATGCTGTGGGTTCATGGGAAGAGAGGAATGGCCATTCTCGGGCTGCGGGTGGCTATGGACAAGTGGGGTTCTGCATTGCAGGCTACAGCAGCTAAAGCTGGTGCTCGGCCTGCACCACCTCCAAGACCTTCGAGACCCAGGCCTCACCTTCCACATCAAGGCAGCCATCAAGCACCCTGGTTACAACCGCAACCTTGAAAATGACCTGGCGCTGCTAAAGGTGCAGGATGGAGGGGCTGAGGGGCTGCCGTGGCCTGGTTTCCCTCAGCCACTCACTGGCCCTCCTGTCCCCACAGCTGGATGGGCAGGTGCGGCCCAGCAGGAATGTCAAACCGCTGGCTCTGCCAAGAAAGAGCCGAGCCAGGCCAGCAGAAGGCGCTCGGTGCAGCACCGCTGGCTGGGGGATTACCCACCAAGGTGGGCACCTGGCACGGGCCCTGCAGGAGTTGGATCTGCGTGTGCTGAACACCCGAATGTGTAACAACAGCCGCTTCTGGAACGGTGCCCTCGAGGAAGACATGCTGTGCTTGAAGGCTGCAGCCAAGAGCCAGGCACCCTGCAAGGTGAAAGGGGGACTGGGAGGCCTGGTCTCCTCAGCAGCCCTAACTGGCTTGTAACACCTAGTCTCTTCTGGGTGGGGCTGGGGTGGAAGGAGGGTGGAGCTAGCATTCATCTCATTTGTCAGATGCAGAAACCAAGGCCCTAGGAGAGTAAACAGTCTAGGTTGGAGGTCAGGAAGACAGATTTGTGTTTGAAATTTAGCACCACAGACTAGTCATCTGGGCCCAGAGCAAAGGCCCTAGGGGAGAAAGGAGAGGGAGAAAATGGAAAGGAAGACAAGGGTGCACTTGTGGCCCCTGGTCCCTGAGACAGGCACAGAAGCTGACCTGTGTTCCTCACTTCCCACAGGGTGACTCTGGAGGGCCTCTGGTATGTGGCAAAGGCCAGGTGGATGGAATCCTGTCTTTCAGCTCTAAAAACTGCACAGACATCTTCAAGCCCCCTGTGGCCACCGCTGTGGCCCCCTACAGTCCCTGGATCAGGAAGGTCATCCATCGCTGACCACACCAGCCTTGGGCCTGATGTTCCAGATGACCTCAACACTTACCGGCCTGGGTGGGAAAGGGTTAGACGTGCCTCTGGGGACCAATAAATCATGATGAGTCTGTTTCACCCAGCCCTGTCTGCCTCTGGCCTGTGTGAGCCTCTAAGATGAAGGTGTCCCTTCCCAGTGGCTGTCAGTACAACCCTAGGACATGGAATGGACATGGGCCTGCTGGGAGCCAAGGCAAGAGCAATGGCAACATCTTGGCCAGCAGGGGGCACCAGCTGCCCTCTGTGGCTCTATCATATGAGGTGAGGAGATGGGAGGCTCCCCACAGAACATCCCCAACTTCTGCTTAACTGACACCTCAACACAAGCTGCTACAGTGTCATTCTGAAGGGACCAGATCCTCACCAAGGCACCTGCTTTAGCTGCAAAAAAAGACCCGTTAAGATGTCTGACCTTGCAGGAGCTACCCTAATCACTAGGCGGTCAGATACCCTCCTTGTGGCAAGGAAGTTTGCTGGTGGGCTGGTGGGCTCTGGGCTTTACAGTAAAAGTTGTGTAACAGTGACCAGTGACATGCAGAGCATAGCAACCGCCCTGGGAGGGCCTTTAGGACGTAGCAACCAGTTGACCAATCAACATAGGTCAGGTTGCCCAAGCCCAGAAATGCACCAATCCTGAGACTATTGCATACCCCTAGACATGCCCCTTGCACACCCCAATAAATCCGACCCCCCCTCCCGCCTTGCAGTTTCTCCAGGTCCTTCTCAGGCCAACCACTGTGTTGGACAGATGAGGGAACCAAGTTAAGGCAGTTAACTCATTAAACAATAAAAGACTCTTTGCAAGCCAGGCGATGGTGGTTCACGCCTTTAATCCCAGCACTTGGGAGTCAGAGGCAGGTGGGTCTCTGT